AACTATAAAAGCTCGAGTTGTTGTCACGTCTTGTCAGTCGGTGTCGCTCGTACACAGTAATAAGTCCTTCTGACGAAATTTTTTTATCATTTTACAATTGTCATTAGTACTAACTAATAACTAAAAAAAGTGACTCACTGTGTCTAATACCGACTGGTCAATATATCAGGAACCGGTTCTTGAATTATTCATAATATTGTTTGCGATACGGTACTTTGTAATCGTGGTGAGTGTCCCTATTTTCGGTTAGTTTTTCGGTAAATTAGTTTCTGTATTCTTTAATTTGACATTTTTTATATTTTCCTTCTTTTTCATTTTCTTTTCTTTCTTTTTATTTAATTCTGACATTTAAATTCTCGATGTAGGGGAGCTCACCATGATAGGATAATTTTTACTTTATATATGTTAATGTGTGTTTGCTCTGAGAAAGGCTCAAAAATGAGTCGAAACATGTAAGCGCGTTTAGTGAATAAAGAAGTTTCATTCTTTATAAGTGTATTATTTGCGCGACATCTTCTGCGCCCGACTCCTAGTGCCCTTACTCTTTCCAATTCTTTGATTTGTAAGGAGTCTTGATTAGTTTGATTTATTAACGGATTTGTAAATTTGATCTAGAGGAGAGGATGCTAATGTGGATTTTTAAAGAAATTATGTACCTACCTCCTCGATCTGATTCTAAGTTCTTTATTATCTTAATTTCGAAAACAAAAATTGATTTATGGAGCTTCTGAAAAACCAATTCAATTGTAACCTCACCTCAAAATGATCAGTATCTTCTAAATCGTTCTGATGGACTTTTTCGGAAAATAAAGAAACACTATCTCTGATAAACAGATGAGCTATATGTTGCGCAAGCAAATGATCAATTCCATTATCCAAAAGCTGTTTATATATCTCATCGTCATACGTTAAAGAGACATCATTATATTTTTCACCTTGTCTGCTAAGGTACGAATCAATAGAATCGTACCTAGACTTACTGATTTTAAATTGGTTTTCTTTAAGTGGTTTTAACCCTCGTTCTTCTTGTGTTCTGCAGTCTACTGACGAAGATATGACATTCCATCGACAATCAACATCACTTATGTAGCCTCGATAAAACGGACTGGCAGCGGTTAAAGCCAACTGTCGAATGTTAAAGAAATCTTCTGTAACGTACGTATGAAAGAACACTCTATATGCCGCTATTATATTTAATAAAAAGGAAGAAACCAAATGAACAAATAAAGAAATCTAATGATAGTGACCATGACACTAACCATGATGGGACATAAAGGTGTTAGTTGATCGTATAATGTTCTTGCTTCTTCTATGTTACATGCTTGAAAAGTAAGTTGCAAACAGCAACATCCCATCCCAAAACCCATTGCGTCCATATAAATACAATTATCTTTAGCTACTTTTGAGGACCTGTCATCCCCCTTGCTAGTAAAGTCTTCTTTGAATAACAATGGTACACTTTCATCTCTGTAAACTGAAAAGATGTATTTATATTAAGTGGAAAATTATTCAAAAATTTTGTTAAATATATTATATTATACGTACGAATATATATTAAGTATATACTATTATATTATAGTACATTACACATTATTTATCAAATAATATGATAGAATTTAGATCGATGAGAATAAATCTAAGTACGATAACTATATTACATTTGGTCAAAGCGGATCTTATGTTAGTGCTTAAACATTTCTTGTGTGAATTTATATACATATCTGATTCTGCAAATTGCGCACCGAAATCTTTTTCAATCTTGAAACGCCATCATAAGCAGAATCAGAGTAGTAATGTTTTGTTAGTTAAGGGGGTTCTAAAGACGATTAGTCACATTGAAAATAGCACTTACACACAGACGATTTACATGTTATTGACATATCACTACATCATTGGCTGCGTTCAGCGAAAAAACCTCTCACTGAGCGCTTATTGAGCAAAAAAGGGATTAATCTATGATTAATATGTTTATTTATTATAATTCATAATGTAGAATAACTTGTCTATTACAGATAATCTTTAATATCATATTTCTTATTTATTACTGTTTATTATTTCTCTAATGCCGTGCTTGGGCCGTGAAGTTATGTAGCTCAGTGAGTAGTGGAGCGACTTATAATTACTTATAATATTAAATAACTCGTAAACTATTAATTTTTTTATAATCGGACTTTAATATTTTTATGAATAGAATAATGAGATGAATCAATTGGTGGGGAAAGAAAACATATAGTTACTTTTAAAAAAATATGTATGCAAAAAGGATAATTTTTTAAAATAAGCAACAGCGTGTTTTCTTTCCATCAATTGAGTCATCTCATTACCCTGCATATAAAATTATTAAGGTACGATTATAAAACAATTAATAATGTATGAATTATGTAACATTTTATGTTAATATACTACTCAATAAAATTAAAGAATCACTTGTTTCACCCTGCAAAAATAGGCAAATTTCGAGATAGAATAATTTCGTCAAAAATCATCGTATCAAGATTTTTAAAGAAGTATGTTAAAGCTTGAAATCTCTACTTTTCAAACCTGTACTTTAAAAAACCGTATTACTCATATTTTATAAAGTTATACATAAATGAAGATGCATCAGATTTCAAAATTTTTTATGAAATATGCGAAGTTCCATGGGGCCAAATAAATATTGGGCACAAATGCGGTTTACAACTTTCGAAAGAGTGAATCTTCACCTTTAATTTGCATTTTTGTTGAGTTCTGTACGATTTTTTTTCACCGAATTATTCAACGTTGAAGCAAAAACAACCCTTTTTGCTTCGACGTTGAATAATTCGGTGAAAAAAATCATACGAAGCTTCATAAAAAAGAAATTGAAGGTAAAGATTCACTCTTTCGAAAGATATAAATCGCATTTGTGTACAATTTTTACTTGGCTCCGTGGAACTTCGCAAATTTCGTAAAAAATTTTGAGATTTGATGCATCTTCATTTATGTTTGTGTAACTTTATCAAATATGAGTAATACAGTTTTTCTAAGTACAGGTTTGAAAAGTAGAGATTTTAAGCTTTAAAATCCTTTTTTAAAAATCTCGATAAGATAATTTTGGACGAAGTTATTCTATCTCGAAATTTGCCTATTTTTGCAGGGTGGAACAAGTGATCCTTTAATTTTGTTGAGTAGTGTCTATGCCAGAATAAAGTATAAAATATCTTGTAACCTATTGGTTTTTTAATATCATTGCTTTAATACTTTTATATGCAGAATAATTAGAGGAGCCATTTTGTATTTAAAAAAAATCATACAATTCTTTTAAAAAAGTGGAGGTAAACTTGAAATCTCTCTCTGAAGTGTCTCTACCTATAGAAAAACTATTAGTAGTATATTGTACCCCTCTTGATGCTATACAATTTTAATAAATATCTTATTAGTTTGACCTTTGGTAGCGCCGTCAGATCAGGTCAAGGTCACCTTCATTTTTTTTGAATGGAACACCCAACTTTTGTTTCCAGAATTTAATAGCTAATGTCGAGAGCTTTCCAAAACGCGCTATAAGAAAATATTTTTTTATTAAATACTTTTTGAGTTGTCAACATCAAAGCCGTTGAAGGTTATACCTCGTATTTTCATTTTTACGTAAAAATGAATTTTTAGTGCACAGAGGAAGATATTGAGAAATCCGAAATCCGAGTAATAAACGGTTTAATCATTAAATTTTAACGGTTACGATATCAAAACAATTTGAAACAGATTCGGATCCGATGGATTATTCAATCGGATATTTTATCTGAATATCCGGATACCCAGATAAACGAATAATCGTCAACCTTAGACTATTTTTCTGCCCGATTTATATCATTTATTCATTCAGATACGTCGTCGTCATCGTCTTCGCAAAATCTTGCCCCCTTTTGCTGCACCTTTTCCCACATTTTCTACATTTTTTTCTGTATCTTTCCCTACATCTTTTCTGCACATTTTTGCACCTATTTTCTATACGTTTTCTACATTTTTTCTACAACTTTTCTACACTTTTTCGGCACCTTTTCTATACTTTTTTTTACATCTTTTCTGTACTTCTACGTTTTTTGCACCTCTGTCCCATCTTTCCTGCATCTCTTCCGCATCTTTCTGTACCTTTTTTGCACTTTTTCTACATCTCTACCACACCTCTCTCACACCTCTCCCACATTAAGCTCGTATTTCTTCTACATCTCTCCGCATCTCTTCTCACCGTTTCCGCAACTCTTTTGCACCTCTTCCGTACTATTTCTACATCTCTTTTGCATCTCTTCCACATTTGTTCTGCATCTCTTCGCATCGTTTCTGCATATCTCTTGCAACCCTTCTACATCTCTTTTGCACCTTTTAAGTACTACTTCTGCACCATTTCAATACCTTTTCGACACTTTCCGCATTCATTCCGTACTTCTTCGCAGCATTCCGGTACGTCTTCCACATCTCATCCGCATCTTTTTCGCATCTTATCTGTCTGCGTACATTATTTATTTACATAGCTACTTATATATCTACGTTATCTATCAACCTGTCGGTGTTATTTATCTATTTATTGATATTATCTATTCACCTTCCGATGTTATTTATTCAACTATCTACGTTATTTATTTGGCTATTTATCAACCTATCTACGTTATTATCTATGTATTCCCACATTTTTGACACTTTTTCCGCATCTTCTCTACACTTTTTCACATCTCTCCTACATGTGGACAACAAATACGGAAGTTGCATTAAAAATGCTGTCATGTTCTAAACATGCGATAGCACTTTGCGTTAATTACCGCCGAAGTTATTACTAAAGAGTATGCAACGAAACGAGAATAAAAAAAAAAGTGACTATCTCGCAAACGTCACGTAGTATTTGTATAGATTGAAGAGTATAATGAATGAATTGAGTTAATAGAGATAGATCGATACACAAAAAAATTTATATCCTACGTGAAAAAGAATGGAAAAGTATGCAACAGTGAGTGCCATGGTGAGACAAATATACTTACCCAGATAGTCAAATTTTCTGAAAACATCTTGTAAAATCTTGCTGCAAACCTTGTTAACAAAAAGGATAAAAATTGGCAGCAAGATTTGATGTATCAAATAGTGTCGGCAATTTGCCAGCAAATATGTAACAAAATTTGATGCCACAACTTGGCAACAAATTAAAAATAAAATACGAACAAATGTATTTATACAAATTGACAGCACACTTCGCATAGCACTGTTTGAGAACAATTTGATACTAAATTGGCAACAAAGCTTTGCGTAGCGCTGTCTCACGACAAATTGACACCAAATTGGTAGCAAACCTTTGCGTAACGCTGTTTGATAATAAATTGACAGCAAATTGACAGCAAACTTTGCGTAGCGCTGCTTGACGATAAATTGACAGAAAACTTTCCTTACGGAAAAAACTCTTAAAATTTGAGTGTTTATAATTTAATAAACACTGAAAAAATACATTCAAGGTAACACTCAATTAATGATTATTTTGGACGCTCAACCTGAGTATAACTCTCAACTTGAGTGTTATTGATGACTTGAATGTTGAGTGTTAATCTCAACTTGATAGTTAACTTGAGTGTTAGGGTGAAATCACACGGTGCGGAAAATGATTGCGGAACAAAGAATGCGTCATTCAGCGGACTCAACAGTTAAGTGAGCACTCGCTGTTATTGGTATATTTTTCTAGATCTAAAATTCTGATTGGATGAGCTAAAAGAATACACTAATAACAGCGAGCATGGCTCTCGCATTTAATTGTTGAGTCCGCTGAATGCGCCCATTGAAACAACCAATTAGCGCTATTCGGAATAACGCAGAATAAAGCTGATTGGTTGCTTTTGTGACATATTTTCTTTTCCGTACCGTGTGATTTCAACCTTAGACCCTACGTACAATGGAGGAAGTATTATTATAGGAATAGAAATAAATATTAAAATTTCAAAACAAATAAAAATTTCAAAACAAATAAAAATTTCATAACAAATTAAAATTTCAGAACAAATATTAAATTGTAAACGCCATTATTTTTAAGTACGCAAATATTTGCGGGCATCTACATTCAATATTTTGGCATTTATCTTAATCATGGAAATTAAAACTCAAATAACTGTTAAATTTATATACTCAATTTTGAAGACACTCAAAGGTTTAGGGTTTACGCTCATTTATTGCGTGTCATACCCAAGTGTTGAGGATCGATAACCTTTAGATGTTTAATGTGTAAACTCAAACTTGAGAACGAACGTTGTGAACGCTCAATCTTTGAGTGTATATACTCAATATTTGAGTGTAAATACTCAAAATTTAAGTGCAAACACACAAATTTCAGAGTAAACTCCCAAAATTTAGGATTTACACTCAAATTTGAGTATAAACACTGAAATTTTCAGAGTTTTTTCCGTAAGAGTTTGCGTAGCGTCTCTTACGAAAAAACCCTCAATTTTTGGTGTTAACACTCAAATTTAGATGTTTACCATCAAAGTTGAGTGTTGACTGTCAGTATT